CGTATACAAATTTGTGTTGTCATTGAAATCGCCAGGACAAAAATTTTGAGAAAGAGTATCTTAGAATGAACTAAATTTTCATTTTCGGTGGGAACATCTGCAACTTCTATTATGGGGCCACCCTAACGTACATTAGGGGATCCCGTGGACCACTTCTTTAGTACACTAAAACGAAGCGCTTTAGTGTACTAAATACGACAAAAATAAAAAACAATTTTTTAAAAGGTCCTCAGTTCCCTACCTGTGATTGAAAATCTTAATCTCAGTACAATAACTTAAAAAAAATATATGCAATCTCTTCGAAAAAGATGTCAAAAATTTCGTAATTTTGAGCTTAACGCGGGAAAAATAATTAAAATATTTCTTAGTGTATTTCTGGTCTGCAAAACAACGTTTAGTGCATTTTAAGGGTCATATAATTTTCAAACAAATCTAAAAATTTCTGAAATGGACTATACCAAATGCCAAACTGTATTTTAATAATTTTTCTGTTTAAGCTAAAGAGTAGGACAATTTTAACACCTGTTTCGATAGAAAGCGAAAATAATATGCCTCTCCAACCCACTTAAAATCATTTTATGGACTAAAAATACTCTACAAAAATTTTAGATTATTTTTCCCGTAATCAACAGAAAATTACTGAATTTTTGAGACCCATTTCGAAAAAATCGAATATATTTTATTTTTCAAAAATTATACCGAGGTCATACGACAAAAAATATTTTCTTTTTCGCGTGTTCAGTACATTAATATGCATCGATTGAGAGGTATTCCTACATGAAATTCTTAAAAAAGCTGTTCCTCGGGATACTCTATTGTACATACAATAACAAAATCACACTAAACAAACAACAAAATTATTCAATTTCTATTTGTTTTTCTAGTTTATAATATTAACTTATACATACATTTGTATCAGAAGAAAATATTATAATTTATAATAAGAATAATTTATAATTTTATAAATTTGAAATTAATTAACAATTTAGATTAACAATAATTATAAATTACTTTATTTACGTTTGTCAAATGTAAATACAAATATTTGCTACATAGAGTTTGCAAATAACTACACTTAGCAATCATCTACAGTAATAGTATTTTTTTTTTTTTTAATTTAATTTTCGAAACTTTGTTTTTTGTTTTGTTTGCACTAAACCGGGTTATGTTCATATTAAAACAACCTGGAAATGTTATTAAAAACGTGTTAACACCCGTGTCGCGTCCCCTCAGAATGGATTTTTAAGTAAAACATTTATATTTTCCAGAAAAAATATTAATTAATCAATAATTAATTTTGGCAAACCCTATTGATACTCAGTTATTTTAGTTAAAATTACAAATTAAAAAATCTTGCCTAATTTAGCGTGTATCGCTATTAATATTACATTAATTGGCATCAGAATGATTTTGGAAATTGGACTTTCTATTGAGGGTTTGAATTAATAATGGAGAGTATTTACCATCATCAATTGATGAATATTATTTGTTCTATGATTAAGGTCCATTATTTTCTGAAGAGGGCCTTATATGGGATCCGTTCTAATCAAAATTCCAAAAATTAAAATTCTATATAAAATTAGAGGGAAAGTGTACTAGAAATCTGTACCCCCAACTATTTATGCCAGTGCTTTTAAGGTTTTTTTATAGAAAAACATTTGCAACAGTGTGATTAATCGATATATATACTATAGTACATACGAAATTTTTGGATCATTTGAGGAGGAGTACTACTAGATATTTTGTTGCATTGAAATTAAAGTATAAACATAACATTTGTGCTTTTATGTGTCATACAAAGATGTTTAAAGTTGAAGTTTGAAAGAATAAATTGAAATTTAAATAAAAATTAACATTTATTTGTCACTGTCATAATTAGACTTTGTCATTTGTAATTAAAAAAAATATAAGAGAAATCTTAATAATAAGTGGATCATTCGATCAAAAGAGGACAGAAAAAGGGTGAAAAGGTTAGATAGAATAGAAAGAGATTGAGAATTAAAATCGCCACAAAAAAGATGTATATAGAAGAAATATTTATATTATTGATTGGTAATTGAGAAAAAATGATGTTGCTATGGTTGTGACTTGATTAAGTGGATTAATTACTATTTGGAAATTATAAAGACAATGGCTTTTATTAATATTATTATTTTTGTTGTGTACCTGTAATTATTAATTTGCACGACCATTTTGAAGTCCCCTCAACAGTTGCGTGCTCAGCCTGTTCTAAGGAATCTATGTGTGTATCTGGATCCACACCAAATGTCATCCTTGAAAATTAAATTTTTATTTTTCTTGAGATTTTCTTTAATTTTTCTTTTTGATTTTTTCAATATGTATATACACACATATACACATGTGTATATACATATTTAATGGAATATTACTATTAATTTTATATTTGGAAAATTGCTTGGTTTGGTTCTCGAAAATGTCGATTTTTTTTTGGGTAGGTGTTTCATTAAATTTTCAATTGATTTCATTATGTGTTACAAAATTAAATCTATAATAATTAATTCATACATATTGCATATAAAGTATAATAAAATAAAAATTATATATAAAATAAAAACTTACACTGTGTATTGATTACAACATAAGAAAAATCTTTAGCTGACAATGTGTTCCACACCGTTATTTTTTTCAATTTCTTAAATTACCCACCCATCCAATACTACATACATATATACATACATGTATGTATACTATAAATATTCTATTACAAAAACAATTTTAATAAATCAACAAGTTCTTACCGAATTTCCAAGTACTGCAAAAGAGTTATAGGTAAGTTTTGGTTTAGAATTTGGACTTTATAGGCAGATGGGTCAGAATATATTTAACATATTTAAACAATATTAAACATATCTACAAAAAATCTTCTGGGAAATTATGTTAATCATAAATATTGAATTGTAATTAAAATAAAAATTTTATTACATGCGAAAAACTATAAAAATCTGTGCTCAAATTATCAAAAAAGAAAATAAAAAATAGAGGAAGAACAATTTCAAGAGATCTGATGATATGTTTAAAAATATTATTCGATATAATATGATAGAGCCAAAAAGGTCTGACATTTGTCTTCAAGTTTGCAATGTTCTGATCTCTTTAAATTTCATAGGTAAAATTCAAAACTTAAATTTAGCCGCACCTTCAGCTTTGAAATTAGATTTATATTTCCCCAACAAAAATAATCTTTGAATGATTAGTTAATAGTAAAAAGATGCCAATTCAAATTTTGAATTCCTATTGCAGACCCTTAAAATAATTGAGCCTGTCGTTTCAAGAAGAACACGAGACCATTAATGCGAACATTTCAGGAAAACAAAAATGTTATTTTTATTACAAAAACTATACTTAAATCGTATATTTGCATAAAAATATCTAATTCTTGATATGCATATATTGGCAGTTAAAGTTTTTGACCATGTTTAAATCACTGTATAGAAATTTTCTTGTTTTTTTAATGTGGTTTGTTTGAAAGTTGCCGTGACGTTCCGTTGATTGTTTTTGTGTAGTTAGCTCCTACTAGGGAGTTTAAATAACAAATAAACCGGCAATAGTTCATTGTAACGTATAAATTCTGGAATTAGCAGAATAAAATCTCAAAAACCTAAAATTAATTTACTTAATTTCTACGTATAGAAAATGATTTCAAGTGAAAAAAAAAATAATTAAAAAATGTACATAGAATTGAACTCAAAGAAGTTGAAATTTATAATTTTGTTTTTGTTTTGTTTACGGAATCCTAAAAATTAAAGGGATGCAATTATGAACAAGAATGTGTAGTAGTTCGATCATATGACCCTACCTTACATAATGAGTATGTTAAAATGTGGATTTTTTTATAATAAAGCTTTTATATTGCATCGGAAATATAAATTTGAAAAAGTAATTTTCTGAAGGAGGTTTTATATGGGTTTAATTATAGGTATATTTTTATATGAATTTGAAACTATTATTTATAAGTGTATTATTGACTTTAACGTCATTTTCAGGTGGGGACCCAGACTCATGCTCTTTTCGAAATGACAGTGTGTGAACTCATAAGTATGTACTTACAATATTAAATAATTAAATACTGTATTAACTATGAGTTTAACCGTCCATTTTGTAAACATACAAATACTTATGTATATACATTACACCTGTATCTTGACAACAAAATTAAGTTAATTCTATTTTAGAAACACTTCTCCAATGTTCATCAGCCTTGCTGGTTATTTTTATGAGGCCCATATAAACTGACTACGAAAAAATTAAAATAATCCTATTACAAAATTTCCGACGACTAGCCACAATTATAATGAGTTAATGTTTGAATATAAAATTACTATCATTGTAGAGGAATAATAGGAAGATCCTTAACACTTTAAAACATATTGTGCGCTTGTTTTTTAGAGTCTATGGTGGCAATACTACTACAGAACTATAAACCTAATAATTATACATTTTTAAACTCCAAATTGTTTCAAAATATTTATTCGGTCATTTAGTTAATGAAGTTAAAGGGTTTTCACATTTGCAAAGATTCCTTAATGTGAAGGGAGAATATAATTAATGTTAATACATACACATGTACATACTTACATACATATATGCGTACATACGTACATACATACATACATACATACATACATACATACATACATACATACATACATACATACATACATACATACATACATACATACATACATACATACATACATACATACATACATACATACATACATACATACATACATACATACATATATTTATGTATTACTATTTAATAATATTAAGCGTAAAGTACAATTAATTTCAAATCTTTATATTAAAAAATTTAGTTAAAAAAACACACACACACAAATTAATATAAATTAAGAGACATTTAAGAAACTGAATATCCATATCCATTGAATTACAATACATGATAATATTAGTATTATTTATTAGTAGTATTTAGTAGTAGTAGATAGTAGTAGTAGAGTAGTAGTTAAGATTCAAACCTGTTATTGCTATTTTAGCAGACCATTTGCTGGTGCCATCCAGAACGCTTTGTTTCACCGCTTTCATATGACCTGTATGACTTTTATCCTCTACGTTGAAAACCGTTCTAAATGTGATTATGAGTGATTTCAATTATATTATGCATATATTTATATATGTAAATGTATTATGTTTATTTTAATAGTAAATATTTATAGTCATTAAATGTTCATAATGTAACATAGTAGCACTGAAATTTCATTAACAAATATTTTAAAGATACATTAAATTATATAATGGTGTTCCTAATATAAAAGACTCTAGTCGATTAGCACGACCGACCACAAACTCTACACCAGCCACTAGAAAATCTGACAAATTTGGGGAGAAAAAAATATGCTTGTAATATATGTAGCATAATAATATCCTAATAGTCATAATCACACCATCATCCAAAAGTATTATTATAAGTAAGTCAAAATAATATTAGTAATCAGTATCCTCCACATTACGAGAGAGATTTCCTATAAATAAATATTAGTAATTTTTTATACTATACTAAATTTGCAAACATACGTAAAATAATTCAAATATTGTACAATGTAATTAAACGTTTATAAATTGACATATTACTATTTATAAATTTATCCACTATTTCCGGAAATACTCCCATTAAAGATTTTATCTCGAGGGAGTTTTCCCGTTTTTCCTACCGAGCGCGGCCCCGGGTTACGGATAGGGGGTGGTGATGGACCATCTGTCCTCCTAAAGTTTTAGTTTCACTCAAGCTGAGGGAGGGTAGATTGTCCACCACCTGGGAATATTATATTCCGCGCGGACCAAAAAACTGGAAAAAAACAAACATGGAAAATAAAAAGATTAAAGTTACGGTGCAGGGCCTAAATAGCCCAGTACCGGCGGCAAGTGTTGATCACTCGCGAGTCACGAGCCGTCGTCATCCTGCAATCGTGAGCAAAATACTACTACGGAGGTGGGTACCATGGCCTCAGTGGCGGACAATGCTTCAAGTGTACAGGATGCCATTGGCAAAAATATAGGGGTGAAAGAGAAGGATGTACTCGGAGAGAGCTCTAAGCTACCTCAGCCTTTAAACATAGGTGAGGGTTCCGACTCTGAATCCTCAGATGGTAATAACAACACCATTATAGCAAATCCCAAGAAGGATGAAGTAGAGCAAATGGTGAAAGAGGTAAGTGATAGCATAGCTAAACTACCTATTACTAAGAAAAGACTATCTGGAGCACAGAGGAGGAAATTGAAAAAGATGCTTCAGGATATCATAGTTAGTCAATCCCACGACACTCTCTCACAAGATCTGAGGCAAAGAGGATCAGGTCTCCCGAAGAGTTGACAACTGAGAATAAACATAAGAAGAAAAAGAGCTCCCCGTCTTCTAATACGCAGTCGAAGCCAAGCCACACTTCACTCAAAGGAACCTCAATTCAGAATCCTGCGAGTAAGGTTGACAACTTCAAGCCAGATATTCGAAGACGAACACATCAGCGAAACCAACCTTGAAGGTAAGGGTATCTCAAAAGAAGCCCCGAATAAGGAGGAAGGAGAAGCTAGACGGTGGAAAAGGAAAATAGCCGCCATCGTACGCCAAAGTTGCCAGAAGAAGACATCGGCTATGCAGTTTACGATGACGGAAATCCGACAGGCAAAATTCCAATAGACCAGCGAGTATGGTAGAAGATCTGGTGAACAATAAGATAGCTTCAAAGGGCAAACAATCAATAGAGAGCGTGAGCTGTGAGTTCTGCATGGGCGTGATGTTGATGAGGATGACATCTCACAAATGTGTTAGCACCCTAAAGAACTTGATGGAAAGTATCTCTCCTTCCAGGTATGGCGCTAAGCTGGGACTGGCAAAGAAGAGTGAACTTCCGGTGCTCTTAAAGTCCACTGTCTACATAAAAGGATGGGGCAGTGAACTGGCTAATTAACGTATAGTGGAAATTCTTGGAGGTCAAAATGCTGAGCTGGCTGTGGAAAAATGGGATGTCTTTTACTGGAAAGAAGAACCCGAGGGAACTTTATTTGTAATAGGTATCGACAAGAATTCCATGGCTAGTCTTTCCAAGAATAAAGGTAAGGCTTACTTCGCCTCTAATGCTGTCATATTCAAAATTGGGAAGGTGCCGATTGGAAGGACTGTTACAACAAGCCCCGAAAAGGACACTAAAAAACTAAGAACACAGCATCAGTAGCCCCTACTGATAAGGTTGAGGAGTCAAATCCTAAAATCGAGGAAGTTACCACTAACTCGGCAGAAGAAAGTGCAACTACCCTTTCCAAAATTGGGAAGGCGCCGATAGAAAGGGCTGTCAAAACAGGCCACGACAAGGACTTTAAAACACTTACGACGGTACCCAAAGCATCATTAGCAAGTACTGGTAATGTGAGGAGCCAAATACTAAAATCGAGGAAATTGGGAAGGTGTCGATTAAACAGTCACATATTACAATGCCAGATAAGGATATCGCAGTGCCATCAATAGTACCCACTTCTGTCTACCCGGAGGAGTCAAGTCCAAAGAGCGAGGAGGTGAAAACCAACTCGCTGGAAGACAGTTTAACGGATGACCATGATTGAGGTTATCCAAATAAACCTCCATCGGAGCAAGACGCCTACCAACGCTCTGAGGGCTAAAATTAACACTGGTAAAATACATATAGCTTTAATCCAGGGACCTTGGACGATTTGCAACAAGGTTTCCAACTTTTTTACGCTGATACAGGGTCTTGCCCGAGAACATATATCTTATGCCACAAGAACTTATGTTTCCTCCTCTCAACAGGATTATCCACATCGGATGCAACCGTACTGAAGCAAGGTAGTGGCAACATATATCTCGCTTCCGTTTACCTGCCCTTCGATTCTCCGACACTACCACCAACGTCGGATCTGATGAAACTGGTTGAAGAGGCACAAAAAAAAATAAGAAAATTGTAATAGGTTGTGATGCAAATTCCCACCATGTACAAACATAGTACAAACACCGCAGAGGACAAGCCTTATGGATTTCATTAATACTAAAGTCTTGATCACATTGAATTTAGGTAATAAAGCTACCTTTGTCAATAAAATCAATAGAATCAGAGAAGAAGTATTAGATATAACTATATGTTCAGAAGAGCTTATAAATGTAATTCAGGATTGGAGAGTTTCGGACGAGCATTCCTTTTCTGACCATCGGAATGATTCAAAATACTAAGACTACCACCAAAGCCGATAAAGTTTCGGAATAAGTCTAAAACTAATTGGACAATGTTCGGGACCTAACTAAAGAAACGTTTAGGTCAGAACAATTTTCAATGTCGAAATAAGGAGGATGTAGACGCCAAAGTAGAAGCGTTCACAAATGCCCTGGTTGAATCGTTCGAGGACAGCTGCCCTCTGCGAGAGCGGAGATGTACCCAGGAGAAACCCTGGGTAACATGCTAAGGAACAGATGGATAAGCTGCGAGATGTACGATATAACTATCAGGAAAAAGGTATTTCGCGGTATAACACAGGGTGGCATTTTGTCACCTTTTCTCTGGGTTACCACGATTAATAGCCTCCTAAGGAACCTAGCCGAGAAAGGACATAGACCTGTCTGCTATGCAGACGATGTCGTAATACTTTTACAGGGAAAGGATCCAAATTACTTGTGTAGAAGAGCTGAGGAGGCTTTGAATACTGCCTTGAGCTGGGCTCCACCGAGAGGCCTCAATGTTAACCCGGCAAAAACGGAAATCTGTCTTTTTACAACAAAGACAAAAATTTCTACGTATACTGAACCTTGCTTCCTGGGCAAGAATATACCAGTAACAGACAAAGTTAAGTACTTAGGTGTAATCCTCGACCGGAAATTAAAATGGAGATACCACATAGAAGATAGGATCAACAAGGCACATCGGTGCTGGGCGATATGTAGGAGAACTATATTCATGAAATGGGGTCTTAGTCCAACTATGACAAATTAACTCTATAAAAGTGTAATTAGAACAATTCTAGCTTATGCTTGAATAATCTGGTGAACTGCTTTAGACAAAAAATGCAATATCAAACTACTACAGGGAGTTCAGCATACATGCTGCTTGGGTATAAGTTGTGCCATGTGTACTACTTCAACCAAGGCTCTGGAAACGTTGCTAGATATTCCACCCATTGAAACATATTTAAGTTATGAGGCGGCGCTTACAGCCGAAAGGCTCTTTACTTTAGGCGTACTGGCCAAAAGCGGTTATAGGACACGTCATCAATGTATACTGGACACATTGGAAGGTTATACACAATCATCGGACGTGCCTGACGTATACCAGACGCAGAATATGTCGAAAACTTTAAAATGCTGAGAATGTCTTGCTCAAGCGGAACATTAGAGCCAATACCAGTAGCAATCCGTTGTTACACGGATGGCTCTAAATTGGGGGACAAAGTGGGGCTGGGGTTTTATATTGAAGACCCAGAAACAGAAATATAACACTGCTTACCAAATCATAACACAAGCTTCCAGGCAGAAGTACGAGTAATAACGGAATGCGTAAATTGGATTAGAATAAATATGGCGCCCACAGCGCTTAATATATTTACCAACAGCTAGAAGGCAATTAGGGCGATATCAGGTGATAGAACTAAATCTAAGACCGTATTGGATTGTAAGAAAGCTTTAACAAAATAATCTCCCAGAGGTAAGGTTTACATCATATGGGTACCAGGACATTCGGGAGTAGTCGGTAAAGAAAGGGCGAATGTAATAGATTTAAAGGGAAGGGAGGTCGAGGCAGTTAACCTGACAAACGCAAAACCATTCGACGCAACAAAAGCTGATCTAAAAATATGGGTGAGAGAATTCCATAAGGCCTCTTGGAATAATGAAACAGTGGGTAGAACCACGATGATCATATGGGGTGACCCTGATGAGGGCAAGACGAAAAATCTCCTCAAAATGAGCAAGTCTGAAGTTAGTATGATGGTACGTATTCTGAGTGGACACACAGGATTACGAACACATCTGTGCAAAATTGGACGAGCGGATTCAGACAAATGTAGAGCATGTGGAGAGGATAGTGAAACTCTGGAGCACTTTCTTTGCCGCTACCAGGCATTCGTCGAAGT